ATTATTATATATATATATATATATATATATATTACACATATATATATATATATATATATATATATATAAAATATATTATAATATATTATAAGCATTTTATTGATATAATATTATTCCGTAAATCATTCTCTTCACGAAAGGTATTCTGTGTCTGGCAGGGAATTCAATTTAAATATAGTTTACACTTTTTTTGTCGCGTGCACATTATTGTAGCGTTTTAGCCTGATGTAATAATATAGTTACCCAGCTCCTGTGAGTCTAGCGCCAAATGCACCGCAAAGCACGGCCCTTTCGACGAGCGCATCCACGCTAGGATGGCTGCACTCGTACAGTTTATGGAGACTGGCGTGGCTCTTCGACATCAGGTTGCCTAGATGTTGAAGCTTCTCGTGTTCCATTATGCTGCCTTCCTCGTTTATACGGCGGAACGTGAGCACTCTGCTAGCCTCTGCGGTGTAAGAGCAGCGATGCAGTTAATCGAGGCGAGTTTACTGGCCACCGTGATAATGAACACCGCGCTTTTCAACGTGATGATGATTCATTGTAACATCTAACAGGTATTTGTGGAGTGTTTAATGTGACGCTAATCGATTTGACGTTAATTAATACGTGCGCTTCGCCGCAGAGTTTGCCACTGGACGGATTATAAAAGGATACGGGATAGTTATAAACTCGAAGGAAATAACTGAACATAAACTTTAGACATTTCGTCACCAGAACATCTCATTTCTCTATACAATTAAATTTCTGGGACATTTAATTTTAGATCCACGGATCAGTTTTCATATCGGTTAAAATGCAATCGACATATGTCCGGCAAGGTAATTTATAGCTACGTGGAACAATCCATGTTTATGATTGATCACCGGTACAGTTTCGTGCACAAAGACAGGAGATGCGATAACTTCAGAGTTTCCATCTAGAACTTTTTGCTTTTATGCTATCGACAGAGATATAGGATGGGAGATACTTAAATACTTTTATAATTGACACGTTTAATAGGACGAAATTTGACCTTTAATTTTTTTAAGAGCATATCTTCTATCTCTCTCTCTAGTATTTTTTTAAAAAATTCGCGAGAGAATAATGAGGCCCTCATTCGACGTAAAAAAAGTTAAAATATATTGGCTGGTGGAAACGAGGAAAAGATATAAGCTCTCTTGATTTATCGGATTTAAGATCGCGTTTTGCGAACTTAACAGCGCATGAAAATTGATCCCTTTACCTTGAAAAACGTGTAGAGCCCGCTGCTGCAGTTTAAATGTTTGTGAGATATTAAAGGAACTGACGAGAGACGTCTTTTTCAATCGTTCGTAATCCGTACCGAGGCTCTCACAGATCTACAGAGAAAAATTTATATTTAACTTATAATTATTGTCCTTTGATTCGTTATTAATTATAAAAACTTTATCCGCAAGTCGCGATTGAATAAATCAGTAACGTAATTAAAACAAAAATGTAACTTTTTTTATTATCTTTTATTCATGATTATAAAATTTGCTCTTTTGCGGTGCGCTTTTTTAATAATTTTTAGAAAGATTTATGCCTTGTTTCCTTCTGTTGAAAAATCTCCCCGAGAGAAAAATCTCGGTCATTTTTATTTTTTATTTATTACGTAATAATGGATACCTTATCAAGAGTATATGGTTCTTCGTGTAAGTCTGTCATTACTATCGTAACCATTTCGTCCAAATCAGAGGCGAGCCTCTCTTGAATATCGATTAATCTTTGAATACGTTCCCAATCTATATTTCGTTTCTTGGCTATTATCTAAATAGAAAAAAAGAAGAGATATTTTATCGTTTCGTTAGGGGAAAGAAGGATTACAATATGAGATCGTAAATCGATAATTATGTATTTTTTCATGAAACTTTTATTTCTTCTTTTACATTATTACGTTGTTTCAATGAAGAAGGATGTCTTTGGAAAGGAAAGAAAACCGAAGGAAATAGAATTAAGGAAGCTGTAAGAGTTAGAAGATATCCCGAATAAACGCGAAGTGCATCGATCAATGTCGAAAAGCGACAAACGTGAAGAGTAATTGAAAAACGAATTTTATTCTTTGAAATAGTTTACAGATTTTTAGAGAGACAAAGAGAGAAAGAGAATTTAACAATATTTGAATCAAAAAGTTAAGTTAAACAGAGCTGTATAATTGTATTTTTAACGTACGAGATGATATACAAGATGTTCCAAAATTCCTAATTTAAAATACTACAACAAGAAAATTCTCGAAAAAATAAATCATAAAAATATTTGCTATTTTCCATTTCAAGCGGTAGTTTTAGAGATATAAAACTTTAAAATTCATCAATCCAAACGACCTCCTATCCATAAGTCACAGTATCGATTGTGTTAGTGGCCTGTTCATTTCACACACTGACGTTAGATAAATGATTGTGTGATTGCGTAACATTCGTATAATATCGCGTGTAATATTGATCATACAATTCTTAACCGATAATTTGCAAACATAAAAATGGATGGCGATGGTAAATGATGAAATCGATACGTAATAAGAAGTTTAGATAATTTAATAAAAAAATTTTTGGGATGGGATACGGTATTAATATAAAAAAAAATATATGTACCTGTGCGGCTAATCGGCATTCCGCAACTCGGAGATTGTAGTCGGCAGTCGAGGCTTTGTTGTGATAAGCTTGACTGTGTGCTATCACAAACACTGCATTTTCTGGCAAGATTACATCAGTTGCGCGCAAGGGATTAAACTCTATTAACTTAGCCGAACCTTTACGAACAAACAATATCGCGGAAAAATGAGATATGATATTCTTAATACGATTCGAGAATCCCGTGCTTTAATCTCGTGAATAAACAGTTTTTGAATCGTTTTAAACGTTTTAAATAGATTAAGACGTAATACAGAGATTTTCTTCTCTACTCTTTTCCTCTCTTCATTAAGAAAAAGATTTCTTTAAATTTAGCAGTTCTATTTGTTTGACTTAAATTTATTTAATTTAAACAACATATATTTTATATTAAACATCATTTTATTGAATTAAGAGTTTTGTTGTCGTTAGAGTATATCATGTTGTTTAATAGAAAAAAGCATTATTATTTAAAGGAAATAAAATTTATCTTTTAAAGTAAATAACACTTTGTTTGACTAGATTAAATATTATTTCAATGAAAAAAAGAGATTCTTTAATATTGTTGAAGCATATAATAAAGAGCATTATTTTTTTCAAACACTTTATTAAACAAATATCTTATAATATTTAAAATAAAGTTGTTTATTATTTGAAAAACCAAACTCGAATTAGTTGAATCAATAATTGGCTTGTTTGGACTATTTCAAAAAATAAATTTCTTTGAATTTAATAAAATTTATTAAATCTAAAGAAATCGTTCTCTCTATGTAGCTCTTTTTAAAAATATTTTTTATGAAATCTTAAAACAGTTTAATTTACGATAATATAGTAAAATACGATTAATAAAAATTACCTGCTTTCCCAAGAAAAGCGATGGCCTGGTCCATTCCACCACCTTGAGTGCCAATATGTCTTTCTGCTCGAGCACTAACAGTCGCTAATTCATGCTTTGACAATTGACACTATAATATAAAGAACTTGAATAATAATATTTATGCAATAACAATCATAATTTTTTTAAAAAGAGTATATATATATATTCGCAAATGAATGAAATAAAAGAGAATTTGTGAAACAAACTTAAAATTAAAATTGTTGAATTAAGAAATCTGATCATAAGACTTATAAAAAGATGAGAAGTATATATAAAATAATGACGCACGGAGAACAATATAAAGCATTAAAGAAGTTTTTCTAAAGTTTTCTAAAGATTTACGGTGGTTATATTGCGTTCGATATCCATTCGAGCAAACACGAAACCGTCAAAGGAAATATGATCTACCTTCGAGAAGAAGAATGCTATACAGAGTAGTGATCGGAGTAGTTTGACTCATTTGATCAAACATAATATCTTTCAGTACTTATCTAGTATCTGTGACGTTAATAAATACGCGATATTATTTCTACATCGTTCATGGAAGTTTGCTGAAAAACCGAAAAATTCTAATTAAAAAATTATGTGAAAAGGCCGGGGAAACTTGACGTCAAAGTGGAAAATATTTTTAGAGCCAATTAAAGTCTAAAGAAGTAATTTGCGAACTTCAAGCTTTAGCGCTCGTTGCTTATTAATTATTTTTTATGACACAACGCTTAATATCATTTCGTAATACGCAAAGGTACTAATAATATTTAACATTCCGCGCGTAAGATGAATAATTTAATCGCTCACCTGACTGGCGTGTACGATCGAAAGGAGCGCGGCGGAGACCAACGCGCTGGAGCTGGAGAGACCAGAATTAGGGGGAATGTTTCCCCATATCGCAACCAGAATTCCAGCTGGAACAGACTCTGCTGGGATTATCTCTAACGCTCCTTTTACACCGCACAGAAAATATTTGTACCACGCCGGACCGCTCGCGCTATCGCTAATACAAGATCTGAAATTCACAATTACGTTTATATTTATTATAAAGTTTTAACTCATGACATCAAGTTCGCGAAATATTAATGTTTGAGAGAGTATTAATAGCGAATATTTTATTCAGAATTTTTTCCTTGCCTGTTATTATGAAAAAGTTGAGACACATACATAATAAAACGTACGTGACAGAAAAATCGGAAAATCAATAACGATACGTTCGCTAAGTCTGCTACCTGAGTTATATTCTATCTGACGTAGTTGTGCGACATTGAATAATGAATGAGATTAAGAAAGTTCATATTATCTTCTTCGGTATTATACCGAGAGCAAAGAAAGCGCGGAGGTAATTTAATCCAAACGAGAGCGAGGTTCCGCGAGAGCGGAACGATATGATCTGCTTTCCTTAAATTACGCGCATCACGAGTCCACTAGTCATCCGTTATCTTTTACCGAGTTTTGTGTTGTAATAATAATAATAATAATAATAATAATTCCACTTTTCATTTAAATTGATTTAGTAGCGAAATAGTAGTAGGGAAACTGAGGGAATCTTGTCTCAATGCGAACGCACGTACGCTGTAGAGATAAATTGCACATTATTCTAGTTTCAGCGTTATAATCCAAGATGGCCGCGGTGAGGGATCAGCAGGCTTAAATTGTTAAGTGCTTATAAGTGCCTGAGACCACAACTGTGAGCACGACAGTGCGTTGTGAAGGAGGTGTTACATTTACATTTATGCCACGTGCGGTATACTTCGCTATATATCAGACACAATGTGTATCAACAAGATCTTAATAATCCCGGGAAAGTTTCTTTCGAACAAATGTCTCACTTAGTTTTCGCAAGCTAAAATTAATCGACAAATTCTCAAACTTGTCAATTATAAGGAACTTTGTTGTTTCTAACAGCTATTGACTAATGTCGTTGCCTGAATAAACTCAAACGCTCATTGAATTTAGACTGTGCTCACCCTGTATCCTCGAAATTGCATCGGAAGTCTTTATATTTGGGATCTACATTGGTAAGATGGATCTCGTTATCTTTCGATAATGTCACTGCGACGAGGATATCTTGTTCAATGGCCATTGGACAAACGGAGTATCCGCAGTAATCGATGTGTTCGCCTATCAGATTTACCCTGTTAACACAGGACAGAAATATTTGTTAATGTATTTAACCATCCGGAATAATTCTCGGGATCGATTTAGAGCTTGAACGATGCTGTAATACCTTTTCAAAATTAAGATGTTGAAATTGAATTGACGATTATAGAAACCGCGTATTGTATTATATATAATATCTTATATAGTAAAGTTTATATCAAGTATTTAGTAAGGCTTCTAAAAGTACTTGGGAGGGATTGAATTTATTATATTAAAAAGAAATTTACCTTCCTGGCACACGGGCGAAAAAGGAAGGCTGTACATTGTATTTGGAGATGAAATGATCGGCCAAGGTCTTCAATCGCGGTGAAATATCGGCGGTGGGTGTCAAGATTGGAACAAGATTATCTACCGTCTCGACGGTACTGGCCCCGTTAGCTTGATGGGACATTTCTAACAGCGACCTACGTAGAGAGACAAGAGAAACATTCTAAAACAGCGGATATTGCGATTAGGATTATTCGTAATAAATTGTATCTTTTTGGAAATTCCATCGCATTAAGTCTCATGAAATTATGCCGTTACTCGTTACTGCGGTTATATGATTTATCGTACGGTTAAATGCCGTGCTTTGGTATTGGCGGTAACTTCGTTGGTAATTACGATACTGTTTCAAGTTGAACTACGGGAAATTGAGTAGGAGTCTGCCTGCAGCAATACTGCACTACGCAATTTCAATTTAAGCTTCTTATTCTCGGCAATTGCAATAGGATTACGTAACAAGAAACATATTCAGAGAGGGATATTGTATAATTATATAATAATATACTATTATATAATAATATATACTATTATATAATAATATATTATAATAATATTATATAATAATATATACTATTATATAATAATATACTATGTTATATAATAATATACACTTGCCTCTATATATATAAATAAAGTAAAATAGGATACTATATCTAAATAATAGTTTAAAATGTAATATGTTAATATAGAGTAAAAATATATTAAAATACGTCAAATATATATTAAATGATTCATGAGTACTTAAACTTATTCTTATTTCTTATTCATTTTTAATAGATTTGATATATTTAAAGTATATATATCTAAAGTATACAAATTGTACGAGCTATGATTTTTTCATCCTTGTAATTTTTATTACAAAAGGCAAGACGAGAATATTTTCAAGAAAATATTTGAGAGCTATTCTTTGTCGTGCTATCACACGATAACACGACAACCCGAGATAAAACGAAAGCAAGCACATAATAATAAACAATAATAAAGTATATAATAATAAAGTATATAAGTTCGTCGCGATTAAATTTCATTACGTCGTAAAGCCTTTTTCCTTAAGGACTCACCGCGGTGTGCCTTCATTCAAATTTTATCTTCGTTGAGGCCACGAAGTACGAGTTCGCCCTTTAATTTTGGAAATAGCGTTTGATGGAAATGTAATATGTACATGCGGCGAAGTGGCTCGCTACGTGAACCGCATAACAAATTCGCTTTATATCGTGAAATTATTGACAAGTTAATATGACATTATAGGTATCGAATAAGATTTGCAAAGCTATTAAGCATGAAGGTGTAATTATATTTGCTGCTGCACCGAAAATCGAACAGTACTGAAACTTACTGACTCAATACGACATTTTACCTTCAAGAACCATTCGAGTTTCTTATGGCACGTTGACGGTATTTACTCATGCTCGTCTCCTGAGGTACTGCAAGCACAATGAAAACTTCCGTATGCTACAGTAAATAAATCCTATTTACGGCTTGCAGTAAGTATTTACGGCAAGCATTATTCTGCTTGCAAACTTAATACTTATTTTTTTTATTAATTAATGATAATGTCAATGTGATCGAGTATCATGTAACACTTCAATGTAATGTAATGTATGTGATAATGTAAGTATTTATATCATTTTTGCGTTATCAAATTGATATTTTAAATCTGTATGTGCACTCTATGTCCTACATAAAAAAATTCGGTTGTATAGCGAATTTTTAATAAGACGTAATTCATCCAATCTTCTAGAGATTTCTTTTCGTTTTTTTCTCTCATTCTCTCATAATTCAGTATAACACATATTAATATATTAATATATATTATATATATATATATGTATATATTATATATTAATATATATTAATACTGTTGACTATATACATCCAGATTTCGATTTATATTTAGAGATATGAAAAAAACGTATACATCATATATAAAGATTATTTCATATGTTTTTCGTATTTTATTTATAATTCTGTTATACTTTTATCTGCAACTTTTAATTACTTTGTTAAATATGCGACAGGATCAATACTCGGAATATACAGATTATAAATAATTTAAAATCCAGCAGTTCAGATTAATATCAGATTAATATGTCAAAAAGAGAAGATACACAAGGAAATATTCGTATCGAATAATTTGTTATCAGTTTTACAAACATCGATACTAGATAATTGCCATCCTATGAATCTTATATAACAGAACATCTGTCACTAATTACACGATCATAGGTTTAGCTATTTTTTATGCATAAGAGAAAGTTAAGCGATGCGACCGCAAGTCGCATTGCGAAAGATTCTCCTCAGGCAAAAATCATAATCCTCTTAAAAAGCTGATCTTTCTCTAATGCTTCGAAAAATTGAAGACACGAACAAAATAAAAAAAAAAAAGAACAATGATTTTTTTTTATTAATTACGGACAATTTGTCCAAAACTTATTTCAAATATTCTAATATATAATCCGTATCCAAAGATTTGTTTAAAATATTTTTGATGAAAATTTCGAAGCGTGTCTCTTCTTCCGGTGATTAGGAAGAACTTCTTCAATCATGAAGACCTCGTCGTTCTGACGTTTATGCATCAATAGAGTTCAGCCGGATATTGCATCTTCATTGGATGCATCGCACACACATTGTTTCGCGATACCCGGTTCGTAATAGCGCCGTCAACGATATAGCGCGACGCGAGCGCGCGCGCGCGCGCGCGCGCACAGTTGTCGCGAATGGCTACAGCGGCGCCGGCTGTGTCGTGTCAGCTGTTCGTTCGTCAAAACACGCAGGAGAAATGCTGTGCTACGTGGCGGTGGATTTTAATAAAACGCTTCGATATACGGTAAAGTTTGACAGAGCAAAATAGGGACGTACCTTGTTCTGCGAGAGCTCGCGACGGTCTGCTAAATGACGCAACGCGTTATCGCTGTTGATTAACCTTATCAACACGTGATGCGTTTTTTTCTGGAGTATATCCCAACCCGCGCGGACCACCAACTATATCCACTTATCGATCTGTCATTTCACGAGGTACAGCACGCCGTCGGATGGGTCGCTGTATGCGGGTGTATGGATTCGCCATACTGCTTGCGATTGTGTGTGGCGGGGTATTCGAATATATTCATGATAAAATATGAGAGCTACTAATTAGATATTTTTAATGTTTAATTACTGGCATCAAAAATTACGTAAAACTTAGGCAACATTATTGCGATTATCTATGAGATCATTTGCTCGAGTTTTGCGATAGATAGAGGAACTTCTGCATTTATAAATTTGCAATACTTCAATGCGATAATAATTTTATACTTTTGTAAACTTAGATATGTTAAAATAAATAACATGACATTTATATATGATAATATTTTATATACATATATTATGGATATGTATATGTAATGATAATATTTTCAGTCATATTGAAGATTTCTTTTCTTTCTTTGAAAATAAAGTATTTTGATTACATTCTTAACATATTTGAAGGGTCTGTATGATATTTTTTTAAAAAGAAATAGATACTTTGTTTTCTGTTAGAAAAATGATTACTTGTATCTGAATATATCATTTTTAAAAAGAAACTTTATTTTATACATTTTCTTATAATTTTAAATTGTTCCTACAGAAGTTATATTATCGATTAGAATAGTTAACAATATTACCAGCAGCCAGTATAATGTATTAATAATGTCAGTTTATGACTTACTTTTGATTAATTTTATTAATATTTATCATATAATATATAATAATTATATATATAATGTAGCATACTTTATCCTAAAGACACTGGAAATATATTCTTTAGACATTCTCTTATCTATAAGATATTCTATAAGATATATATGTCTTTAGAATGTTCCTTAAAAATCTCTGCTAAATGAAATATGATGATATATGTATAATATATTAGTAATACTGAAAGATTTTAAAGGATATGCTCTACTAGTTACTATGAATAATTATAATCGTATTTTAATTTAAATATCGATATAAAATGTCTATTCTATTAATTTTAACCTTAATTTAATTTATTTTTTATTTTATTTTTTAATTTTTAGAACTAAAAAACATAAAGAATGAAATTAAAATGAACTAATTAAACTGAAATTAAACTTAACATACATTGGTAAAAAGGGACACAATGTTTGTGTTCATCGATAAAATAGAAATACCAAGTATTTCCGTGGCTTTTGCAGGTAATTTTTTTGCTATTGTAAAATGTTCATTTGTGACCACATATTTGCTAATCATCTGCCAATAAAAAATTATTTGTACAAAACTATAATGATCAAACAATACTATTTTAAGATTTAAATTTTGATAATGCAAAAGCTACCGAAAACTGATATTAGTGAACTGAAGATAATACAAGATAATTTGAAATTTAGGTTTAAAATTTAAAGCACAAGAGAATAATCGTTTCTCTTTCTTTTTCTAAAAAAGAAAACTTGATATATTATATCTTGGATCAAATTGAAAAATTCTATTCAATTAGATTCTTTCCTTTACAGTCTTGTAAGCTTTTACGATACGACTATCGTGAACAAAGTACCGCAGTTCCGGGAATTAGAAAACGCGTTTAAATCTCACTCGTACAACTCGTGCAATTTGGAAGAGGAAGGAGAAATACGTATTCCAGGAACGGTACGGGTAACACAAAAGCGTTCCTTATATCATTCTCGGGATTAAATTGCGTTATCGGAGAAGATGGTAGGCAGTCAGCACACCATAATGTATGTTGCCCTCGAGGCTGAGTCGAACACGATCAGCCCGAGTGAAATGAACCGTTCAGAGAGTACTTCCCTGAATTTTTATGCGATCTGCCGCGCGCACCCAATCCGAATTACTCCGACTTTGTTGGCGACGCTCGCTGCGGACGGATTCGAAATCACGAGAGGCTTGTTAATTCGCTGCGCCGTTCTCCAGTGTGTTCCAGAGCAAACGAATCTATTCCTTTCTTCTCTCTACAGTACACTTTCTCTTACGGTAGAAAAAAACATTTGACCATATTTTAAAATATATATGCAAATTAACGTTTGAATTTTGATACGTACGAGTAAGTAAATATTTAAATCTTTCATACTCGCAAACAAAGTTATGTTTATTAAATCAATTCGAATGAATTAAATATTTACGATGTTTAGTCACTCGTGTCTCTACTGTTTAAAAATATCTCATTGCTTCAAGAATGTTGAATAATACTGGTGCTGTATGGAGGCTGTATGAAATCATACAGCGTGATTGAAATGTATGCCTCTGCATAACATTACGGAGTGGTTTCCGTGTCGTTGAATCAGCAGCGCGAATCGCGAGTCGATTTCATTAGCGTCTCATTCGGCGTGCGCCCGTCAAAATTGCAGCAGCAGGCGGGCAGGTAGCGGGGTTTAAGTGAAACTGCCATCGCCATCATGCAGGCGGTGGTGAAAAGGGGAGTGGTTGGTGGTGAAATAGGAGCCGGCGGCTGCTACTGTGCTATGGGTGGGAGAAACCGGGCCAGTAATCTCCGCTCACGGCTCCACTTCTGCGTAATTTATTACAACTTGCCGAGCATCCCGCAGGGTCGAATCCAACTTCGGATGGCAAAGCGCGCTTTCTCGCCAGCGAATCAGGGATTTATTGTAAAATACAAAATGAGCTGTCGAGCGGAACAGTATTATGAGTCAGACTCTTCTTGTCTTAAGGAATAAGGGAGTTTGTGCAAAAAAATATTAAAATTTAACCATCGCGTTGTGTGTTATTTTTATATTTTCACGTAAGAAACAAAATTTCAAATATCTCAGAGTAATCAAGCAGGAGAAATAACATATTTTTACTGTTGCAAATGTAAAATGTAAAATTGAAGTGTAAAATTATGTTATGATGAAAATATGTTAAAGGATGATAGTATTATTTTATATAAGAATTTAAAAATTAAATTTTTAATTAATTGTGTGTTAATGAATGTTAGCATTTAATGTCGAAATCTTAAATTGCATAATCGCGAAATCGCGCTTTTACACGATTGTAAAACGTTTTGCATCCGTTCGAACACGATATAAAAATTCCGTCGCGTAACGTAAGAACCTCGACGTGGTGCCCATGGAGGGTGCATCCCTGGGTGAACCGTATAGCACGTATTATACGAGGGTGAGGGTGATCAACAATGGCGGCACGACCTCAGGAGGCTCCTCCGTTCTCCGTTCCCTGTTCCCGACGCCATTTTACGTTGATTACGATGCGGTTAGCTCCTTCCAGCCTCCCGCAACCCCTCGACTTCCTCACTCCACTCGGACTGCCTTCCTTCTCTTCACCCCTCCGCCCCTGCCGCTCGCCCTCTCCGGCACCTCCTCGTCTAATTCCATTCTCCTCCTCTCCTTCCAAGGCACTTACACGACAATCGACTCGACCAACACAATCCATGCTTGCCGTTCACCGTACTTAACGTTGTGGTCCGTCCTGCGAGGTAAGAACAGCTCGGCAGCACGGATCAGCGACTGATCTATGAGTCTTCGTCATGTTTACCGAATCGCCGGCCGGACATCTCGGCTTAGTCTCTTTTGTCCGCGCGATATATTGCGCGAGTGCTTGCGTTGTGAGCGTTGTCGAATGTTACTTCCACACGACGTACGCAAAGAAACAAGTAGAAGTGCGAAATATAAATTTTAGACAGGCGAATTATTGATCTTGGTTTTGTTCAGAAAGTTATATATAAAAATTCGGCGTGTACTGTAGATTGCCTTTCAAATTTTAGTAAAAAATTCCGATTTGGTTTTTTATAAACAATCGATTTTTCTTTCTTTTTTTTTTATCCGAAATGCTTCATTACGTAAAAATATCAGAAAATGCATATAGAGACAAATGATTAGGAGAAAATAAATCTAATAAGATACAAACGATTTCTTGCTTTGTCGGCAAGTTTATTAAAGAGAATATAGCTGATTTGTTCGGTTATATCTTTTTCGGCGTATAAAAATATACGTCATTTGCTTCGCTAACGACGATCATAACAATTCCACGTGACCTATGACTTTAATCCTAATAGATCCGGCCTTTATGACGACCTATCTTGTAATGGATAAGTTGCCCCTTAGGAAGACAAAGTGGAAACGGCACTCGGGAAAATATGATGAAAGATAATAGATCAGACTCCAGCAGGAGCTATGGATTATATTAGTTTTTATGGGGATGTTTAATATCTTTCACGTTATTAAGCATAAGATATATTACGGTATATTCATTGTTATTATCTGACTTATTAAAACGTATAATTAAATTACCGATTACAAATAATCTTGCTTTATTCAAAGATAAAATAAATTAATGAAATATGATAGCTTACCATTACTCAATACGTCATTTTTTGAATGTTTTATATTAACATGTATTTCTTAGTATATTGAAATTTTATGATTTCATTGTCGTTATGGAGTGTCCAACGAGCGCTATTGCAGTGGCACGTCTTAACGGCTGGGACGGATTGTTGACGAATCGTGCAGGAAAGGCGTGGAAACTGGATAGCTTCCCACCTTGGAGTACATCATAGTGGCGAGGAGAAGAAGCTTGAAGAGGATAGATAGGAAATGACATAGCGAGTTGGGCAAAATGAGCGATGAACAAAGAGGGGAAGAGAACAAGAAAAAGAGTGAAGACAGAGAGAGGCAGAGATAGAGATAAAGTAGAGACAGATGTAGAAATCAGGATAGGGTATAGGCAGAGAAAGAGTATAGGCACGGAAAGAGAAGAAGAGAACGAAGAGAATAGAGAGAATGGAAGAGAATGGAAGAGAAGAGGGATAGATGTGCACGTAACGTGACGGACGTCGCCTGAAAGCTCGTCCGAGAGAGCGTCATGACGGCGTCGTCGTTGGGGTTGATTGTCGCAGATCTTATTATCCCCCCCTTGGTCTAAGGAAGCTACGGCCGCAAGTTAGTACGTGTACGTGTACGAGCACGTATACACGTGTGTACGTGTGTATGTGTTGCGCGAGCAAAGGGTAGGTTGCTGGAGGAGGGTGGCATCCCCCTTCGTCCTCTCCCACTGGTCCCCGCTACCTCCTTCAGCCCCAGGCTAACCTTGTTAGCGCTAATGACGGACTCTGCCGCGAGATGCGCGCGAGCCAAGGCAGGGACGTACATCTCGTAATCTTTACGGGATGTTCTAAGTCCAAGATGGCGGAGCTTGACCTTTGAGATCGTGAGTATTGTGTTGAAATTAAATTTCTTTCTTCTACGATATAATAAAAAATAATTGTGGAAGTTTAACCAAGATCCAGCTTGAAGATTAATCAAAATTTCTTGAGTTTCGCTGTATGAGTTGAACTAAGTTTTTACGTTTTAGGATTTTGGAAATAAAACGTTAATACAAATCATATATGTATATTAAATTTTGAGAAATTAAAACATTTATATTAATTATCAGTACATTTTAAATATTTTGTTAGAATAATTTTTTTATACATAAATATAAAAAAGAAAGATTTAATTTCATATTATAGAATAATTATAATATGCAAACCTTGTAAATTCTGTATTTATTTTATTTTTAATAGAAATTCCAAGTTATCATGTTGATGAAGCAATAAATCCTCGCAAATCCTGTTCTATGTTTTCTTACCAAATATGTTCTGTCACTAAGATTATTACAGATCGTTGGTGGCATCCAAACTCTCATAAATTCCCGGTATCTACAGTCAAAGATGCTAAAATATCTCTAATTCGAGAGAAAAATAGAAAGAGAAAGAGGTAACGTGAGGAACTCTCGAAGTAACCCTCGACGGCCCCCAAAATCCATTAGACCGGAAAACGAGGTAGAATCGTAGAACGCAATGGCGTCTAGAAACAAACGACGGCCGATAGGAGTGAACAAGCAGTGAATCACCCAAGCACTTGTTTACCAAGAGAATCAGGGATTCAGGGATGCCGTTCTCCGACTTGGAATCCAGCCCCATCGCGCTCGTCCTCCCCGTCCTCGGCCCCTCCGCCACCCATCCATCGGCCCACCGCTTCTCACACCATCAACTTTGCCATCAGCTCACCACCGTCGTATGGGATCTTCCGAAGGCGGATGGAGTAGCTCTTCGCATACGTAGACACGCGCCGTATCTTGGAGCGTGTGAAAGAGAGACGGAGGTGGCGACGGAGTGAAGCGGAGCACGAGAGCGACAGAGAAGGAGGGGTGCGAGGGGGTGGGAAGTTACGTAGACGCAGAAGCGGCACTAGAATCGCTAAATGTAATTCGGTTAAAAGGGTTTTAGCAATACAATGCATATAAACATGAGTGCCCCACCCTCGTCGTCGCCACGTCCTTCCGAACTGCCTCCCTTCCGCCTGCACGCTGTCTTCGAAATCCTCTCCCGGCGACGGCGACGACTCTCGACTTCCTTCTCGAGGAGCTTCTGTTACGAGATACGAGTGAAATCAACTAACCGAGGTTTAACGTCCGCCGAATGAACGTCGCGGTGAGAGCCTCGCAATGAGATCAGGCGATATGATTCCGAGGTTAATCTATATCTCATCGTCAGTGTTAAAAGCACAGAAGAGGATTTCTTTCGATTTCTAAAAATATAAAGTTACACATATACACATGCATAACATTATAATCATAAAATGTATGAAGAGAAGTTTATATAGTTCCTTTATTTTTGTAATTATTAACATAAATTTAATCCAATTTTTTTGGATTAGCCTTTGGATTTAGCCTTTATTTGAATCACAAATTATACCTTTTTATTGCAAATATAATAATAATAATAAATTATCATATTGCAATATAATAAATAAAAAAATTGTCCATTTTCTTATTTATTAATATGATATTATCATTTATCTTATTTTAATTTGAGATGCTTCTCGATGAATCATAAGCATCTCGTAATTACAATATGTGCAGATATATTAGAATAATAGATTATGCAAATTGAAAATTAATTTAAGTAATAATATTAAGTAGTAATAATAGTTTTGGATATCCTGAAATTACTGACATACTGAAAAATTAGTATAATTAAAGTTATTTCAAGTCTACGTTTGTGAAATATTACGTGAATGCGTGACTATACATAATGCGTTTTTCACTAAATCTCCGCTCGCGAACGATCGCGGGGCACACGCTAATAAATCTCCGCGTGTTGAAAGAAGGGAATACGCGGAGAACGTGAAACGAGATTGGCCGTTATGCTAATTTTCTCAGCGTCACGTTAACGCGCCTTCGTGCTTTCTCGGGTCGGCGGCATATTTCTCGAAAAAAACTTTACGGCCATTTCCTTTTTCCGCCACGCCGCGCTATGGCGTAAACGGAAATGTGGCGCCATGCCAGAACGTTCTCGAGATGGTCCTGCCTGTTCGTCCGAGCAATCCCGGATTTTTCCTCGCAAATAATCACGCCCGGTAAAACTCGCTCGAGCTGCTCCCGCCACGGATTTTTCACGAGTAAAAGATGAAGATGAAAAATTGAAATAGCACATGACAAACGAGGAGAACTTGGCAATTGAATCAGTAGTAAGAACGAGAAATCGACTGACGAATCTGCGCGACAACGAAATTACGAGGGAAATATACGTGTAAGTGAAAAAACTCGAACACAGGGAAGCATTCGTGATACAATCTCGATAATGTTTGATGATCGAATTCAGCACGAATGATTTCTTCAATTTGTGAGAATAAAAATATAGAGAGTCACCTAGATAAGATCTAAGATAATTAAATAAAAAAAATAATAATATATATATATATACAGTGTGTGTGTGTGTGTGTGTGTGTGTGTGTGTG